AAACCCTAGGATGCAATTTGCCAGTACTGAGAATCTTGACCAGAGCTTCCATTGGTCCTGGGGCCTGCAGCCAGATTGCCCTGAGCCCAGACATTGCACAAGCAAACCCTGTTTTAACTCTTTAGTGTTACTGGTGGCCTGGTCTGCTCCTTTTGATTATTTGTAGCATCTGTACTGAAGCCTCTCAGTAACAGTGCGGTTATGCTAACGCCTGTAATGAACTCGGAAAGAAACATGCTTGGTTAGTCATTAGAGCTTACCATTTTTTTTCATTAAAAAATCAGTGGGCTTCTGGATTGCTTTTCAGAGGTGCTGACTATCCTGAGTTCCTATTGGCTTCAACAGGGAACTATGAATATCTGTTTTAAAGTAGATGAAGGTGACTTGTACTATCGGTAGGAATCTCTGCTTTTAAAAACTAAAGCGGGATGGAGTTAACGTGCAATGGAAGAATTTAATTAGCTTGATTAAAATGTCCTTTTTAAAGTAGTGTTTGTGGATAGGGAGGAATGGGGAGGCCAGCTGCCCCACTAACTTGCGGCTGTGAACTCCGAATGATCACTTCATCTGTCTCTGACTTTGGGTTCCCGTCACCTCTGTCTGCTTTGCTTACAAGCTAAAAAGACCTGTCAAAGTTGGATCTGTTTCTTCCTGTGTGATTGTCCTGTGCTTAGCTCAGTCTCCACTTGGAGTCTGTGGGTGCTGCAGTAATTTAAACAGTTAATAAATTAGCAAACTTAAAATGCAGTGGGTTTTCATGACTGGCTTTGTAGTAAATATAGGATATAGTCCATAATACTGTACCTGTATTCAAAGGTCTTGTAATCTGTTTTTAAATAAGGTTAACCAAAAAAAAATGTTAATTTTCAGTATCTATTTATGGGTATAAGAGACCAAAAAAGTCTGCCTGGGCCTGAATGGCTATTAATACTACTGGGGTGAAGGCAGGTGGGTTTCTGAAGCCAACATTACACACAGGGGTGATGTGATTAGCATCCCAACCAGCTCTGCAGCCCAAATGACTAGTATCTGCTTGCAGCTAGGTACATGCAAGACAGTATTTTGAAGCATAGCGGGAGTACTTAACCATTCTTACACAGCACCCTGGGTATAAGAGAGAGAGGTGTAGAAAAGGGAGAAATGTCATGTGGCAGGGATGTCTTGCTGAAAATATCACTTCGAGCAATGTGTCTTTTAATGAACAAAACCAATTAAAATCCCTTTATTCCAACCCTTTAGA